GTCGTGGCATTAGGAAGGTTGAGAACCATGTGCTATACTAGAGGCAGTGGCACAAAGGAAGGAGGTGCCAACTATCCCTTCTGAGGAAGAGGGAGCAGAGGTAACTTCAGGCAAAAAGTAAAGCAAAATCCAAACTCCCTCCCTCGAGTTGAGTCCAGCGCATAGGGCCTGTCCTATCAGACGGAGTCAAGCGGTCCCTGTGGGTTTCCGAGACTGTAACTCTTTACCCGAGTAGAAAGCCTCATCTTTCTCCTGAAAATTTCAAACGGCTGACCTTGCAGTTGGCAATCCAACTGTGGAACCCACGATGCCACCAGGGCTCAAAGGGGCATTCTCGACTAGATAATAGTGTATGTGCAAGAGCAGGACCTTGAGACAGGTGGCTACATTAGGGCCACTGTAAATCATTGGACATATCTGAAAATAAGGTTTGCTTAAGGCAGTGGCAAGAAAAATTCTGGAGAAGGGGAAGAGGCCAAGTATCATACCTTTTGAAGGTCTGATACAAGTCTAAATCTCATCCTCTCCGTAATTCTGAGCATTTTAGAAAGCATCAGAATGCAGGGCAAGATGATAATCATAATAATAAAGGTGAAAGTGGTTGTAGAAAACCCATTAGGAGGGTCCTGAGGCTGGGAAAGGCAGTGGCAGTGGAGAAAAACCAGGGTTGACGTACTCAGTGAACATAATTACATGGGGCAAAGGGTGAGGAAGAGAAGATGACCCGTTTGGGAGAAAATAAGATAAACCGTGTGTGGTTACTAAGTTTGAGATGCGTTACGGAAGAAGCAGCTGAAGGTATACGTTTGGTGGAGTGACACATCCCTCAAGCTTCCGCATCTCTCGGAAGCCTCCTCCCTCCACACTTAGGCTCAAGTCGGATCCTTGCCCACCTCCCTTGCTCTTCAAACAGATCTCTCCCTGCAGTCCATCACCCCCCACCTCAGCATTGGCACCTCTTCTCAGCTGTACTTTTCTCCCGGTGATTTATCACCTTCTAACATGTCATGTTATGTACTTATTTGGTTTAATGTCTGCTCCCCACTTTCAGCCCTGCCAATGTAAGCAGGGCAGGGGATTTTTGCCTGTGGTTAAGTGAAATCCACAAAACCACAAACACTATGTAAACATTGTTGTTTTCTTCTTGCTCCTGTCAATGTATTTTCCTTTAGATATTTTATTACTGCTAAGGAGTGAAAGAAACACACAAGTCAAAAATACCATTGTTTAAAAATCAGAGAAAGCTTCCTTCAACAAACATATCAAAATAGACCACTACTTTCTCTCTTCCAGTCTCTGGTGTTCCAGGAGCAGCAGGCATCGGGGTAGACAAGGTCAAGACCAAGAACCACACCATGTACAACCAATTCCAAAAATGGCACAGAAATACCATTAAAAAAACTCGAATCACAATGATATGAATCTCTTGAGGAGGTGGACCCTAAATTCCTGAGGAACATACACTTCACCAAGAAGCACTACAAGAAGGGCCTGAAGAAAATGCAGGCCAACCATGGGTGCTCATGCTGAGGCAATCAGGGCTTGTAACGCCCACAAAAGTCAAGGCTAAGATCCTAATGGGCGTCAATCACAAACTCACTCAACTGGTTTACACTGCCCACTCCAAGCTTGGCAAGCGGGCTCAGGCACATATTTCCAAGGGTCTGAAGCTCTGCTGGCCCAAGACCAAGGCCAAGGCACAAAGCAAAGCTGACTCTCTGGCCAAGGCCTTGACTCCAGCTCAAGCTCCCAAAGTGTGCAGGCTGCAGGTCAAGTTCCCAAAGGTGCCC